GTTTGCAATTACTGCAGCATCTCATGATCAGTGAAGTGATTTGTATTACAAAATGCATATTGTCTATTACTATATCTGACAATATTTTAAACCTAATTTATAGGTTTACATCTCTTTCGAGAAATGATGAAATTGTGGAGAAAGCTTTTTTTTTTTAAGCGTGACTGTAAAGTCAAGTATGGTCTATGTTTATCAATATAATTTGAAATCTTTGAGGAAATTTTTGGTATCAAGTTCATAATTTTATTTGTCCCATTTTTCTGTTTTAAATTTTGATTTATGTGTTGAACTTTGATTTGCATAGTGTTTGTGGAAACTTTAAGAAAGTTTATTACATGTGCTCTTTCTTTATAAAGCATTTATTCCAAGGCAATATTTTAAATATTTAATTGTTTCTAAACTTGTGTTCACACTTAAATAATCTTTAAGGTACCCTGTCACGGGTATATTGAGAATATTTTGGCCATAATCAGCATTCTCTTGGTTTTGAAGGATTCATGTTGCACTTATATTTTTGCAACGTTTGGCTTTGTTGGTGGTTACCCTGATGGTATTTTTTTCCTACACCCTCACAGTCACAGAGCAGTGAAAATTGGGTCAGGTTTTGTCTTTGGTCCAGACTAACGTGATCCTTCGCATTCAACGCTGCTGGCTGTTAACGAGGGGGGAAAAAAAGGGTTTTATAAGAGCAAAATGGAAATCCAAACAACGCAAAGGTAGTGGCAGACACCCCACATGAGCCTCACAGCAAAAAGGCTGTGGTTTGTCTGTCTGGGAGGTGGGAAGAACCCGTTGGTTCTCCGTTGGCAGTGGCCTCCTGGCAGGACCAAATGCCAGTTTGGATGACGACGATGTGCTGTGCTCGGACCTGGGTGCGATCGGAACTCTTTGGTACTGAATCTCTCCGTTCTAATTCCCACACGAGCAGCTCTAGTTGGCTGCCAAGTTGTTCATTTTTGTTTGCCTGCGAAGGGATGTGGCATTTGTTGGCCTACACTGTCTGCAAGGACAAACAAACCCAGTGTGTCCAGCTGAGGTGAGGAATGAACAGAACAGGATGTTTTTGATCGCCCACATTGGGTGAAACACGATGTATATTCTCAAGGACTGGTACAATTAAGTCCATTGTGGAAAGTTCGAGTAGAGGCTGTACAACAGTGGGTTTGAATCTGTAATGTTACTGCTGTTTCATATGTGATTATGGTATTTAGGATTTTGGTGTATTTTTTTTCCCAGCGTGTAGAATTTTAATGTAACACAGGAACTCTAACCTTTCATGCAATGACCTTCTCCAGATATGCTGCATTAAAGTTGAGTAACTTGACCCCTGGCTTTTGCAAAGTGATTGAAGATTTAACGTAGCATTCGAATCTTCAAAAAAAACTTGGACAGGTTTTACTTTTCTAGTCCACGAAGGAAACCTGTATTTGCTATTATACAAATATGCTGAAAATGTAACGTTATTTCTTTGTAATGGAATTTTTTTGCCTTTTTTGTTGTTTTTTTGTTTTGTTTTTGCTCGTGCATTAAATCAGAAGAGCATTGTTTGCACAAGCAGGAACTTAACACACTAACAAGAGTGCTGCATTTTGTGTTTCTTAGTCATGTAGTTAATATTTGTAAAATAAATGGGAATATTTTCAGTTACTCTGAACTTGTTTCCAAGGTCTTCGGTACATTTAAGGAGAGCAATATACATTTGAAGTCACCTTATTTTGTATTAAATTATAAATTTTTGAAAAAAAAACAAAAACAAGTGGGTATTGTGGCACAGTAATTTTGTACTGGTATGAAATATATAGCTATTAAGCTATGGTTTTCCTTTCAACCCATTTGTTTCATCCTAATGCAAATCTGATTGTTTTTATTAGGTTGTATTTTTCTACATATGTATACAATTTCCAAATATTATGATTGGGTAAATTACGAAATGTAAGCATTGACTTGATTCTGATATTTAGAATTTTGGAATAAAATACCTCTTAATCAACAGGAATTCTGTGTTTGGTTTTTGTTTTTTGTTTTTTTTTAATCTGAGGTGTATTTTTTTAAATGCATTAATTCACCAGCAAATATTTTGTAGTATATGTTTGTAATATAAAGATATCTGCTCAATACAGAAAGATCACATTTACACAACTTTTACATTCTCAGCTCAAGTGGCACATATTAACCTTGAGTCAAAAAAATTTCTAATCACAAGCAAGAAAGAGGATCTATTCGCAAATTATATTCTGCCATGAGAAAATTTGATTTCCGACAACAATTTTTTACATACTGCAAATTAACAGTTTAGATTTTATAGCTGCCATATCACTGCAGAAAATGGTGACAGCTTGTCCTTTGGTTAGGAAAATTCCCAGAGAACCAGTGTTTCTTTTCTTGTTGTATTATTAGCCTAATTTGATCTTAGCATTACATTTTCTTTTTCTGATTTACAGTCATACCTTTGTGAGTGGGCTGGCAGTAACTATTTGGTGTCACAATGAAGGCATACATGTTTGTTACATTGCTAGAACACATATTTAGAAATCAATTTTGATACTTTTGAACCCTTTAGAAAAACTCCAAACTGCTGAGTTCCCTTAATCACTATTAGAGAATTTGTTAACCTGAAGAAAACTGTCCATGTCTTGAGGTTATTTCTGTTTACACAACCCCACTGCCTCCACTGGAGCTGTGCTGCTTTACACTGTCTGGATTTCTGACTCCTTGCATACATGGATGATACTTTATTGCATGCTTTGACAATTAGTTTGTAAATGAATTACTGATGCATTAATACTTTATGACATATTACTACGTTAATGTTTTTAAATTGCCAGTTCAAGAACTTTTAAGAACACAGAGAACAACTGAAAATATTTTTTTTTAAGTATTTGTATGAACTTCTCATCAATATATTGTCTCATACAAAGAATTAAGGTCAGTGCTGCCAGCCCATCTGAGTAGCCTTGAAAGACTGCAGGAGTTACTGCTGGACATAATTCCTCTGGGAAATACTCAGGTAGTTGAAATAAATTACTTACTATCAGCTTTCATCTCTTTTTCAAAGAAAAGTTGGTTGAGAAAATATAATCTTGATTATATTTTTGCTGGAATGAGTGTTATTTTGTCCTCTAGTTTTTCTTTGTGATCGATCTAAATATAGTACAAACAATTAATTTCCACATGTGTTATTCCCCCTTTTGGAGCCATTTGCAAGAGAGCTTTTATGAAACATTTAACAGATTATTTTTTTTCCTCCCAGACCTTTATAAATGAATAATTGCTCATATTCATGTCATCAACTTTAATTTAAAATGTTCCAGCTGCCAAGTTGGTTCAACTATTCCTCTCAAAATGAGATTTTATCTTGTTAAAAGCCCAAGCCTGCAAACATTTGGAAGTGAACATGTATGTGATCCACCCTTTCTCAATACCACAGATACTCATCAGATAAATTCATAAAGAAAGGAAGCAAATTGCTCAAAGCATGAGCAAGTAGACCCTTTTCTTCTACCTGAGACCACACAATGTTGCAGGGAATCCAAAATGACTTCAATTGTAACAGTGGCTGTGCAGAAACAGGGGCTTTTTCTGTGCAGTGCCCAGATAAAAGGTTGAAAAAGGAAGCTTGGTGAGAGGATGTTAATTAGGATGTTAATTCTATGTCAATCCCAAATTTATTTGAAGTAATTGTTAATGGCAATGAATTTATTACCTTGGACTTTACAGAATGACATTACATTATAAGGAAAAATACATTAGATTTTTTTTTTTAGATTTTATAACAGATGTGTTGGAAATATGCACGGTAACCTGGCAGTTTTTCCTTTCAGTATGGGAAAATTTATACTCCTCTATAGTTTGTAACTCTATTCCTCTTTTTTTCCCTGCAATGAAGAAATGTTCTGCGATCTGAAAACTACAGAATTCGGCCTAGTCTGTTATTGTGGATAAAATTAAAAATTTTATTTGGCTAGTCTTTTCTTATTAAAGGCCAAATTAAGCGATCTTATACTTTTCAAAGAAGTTTATATTCACTGCTCAAACATACATTAAAAATTTAGTATCACCCAGTTCTGTGACACTAACAGTCATCATAACTGTATTTGTATCTCCTAAAGCTTTGATTCTCCACACAGGCATCTCTTTACCTTATTTACATGTTTACTCCCATTAACAGTCCTGATGCCAAACATTACACGTATTTCAGGACAACGGGTGCACATGAGTAAAATCGGAGTGGGGGTATGTTCGTGAAGGCAAGTCCAGAGAAGGGCAAGGAAGCTGGGGAAGGGTCTGGAGCACAAGTGTGATGAGGAGCGGCTGAGGGAGCTGGGGGTGTTCACCTGGAGAAGAGGAGGCTCAGGTGGGACCTCATCGCTCTCTGCAACTCCCTGCCAGGAGGGTGCAGCCAGGTGGGCGTCGGGCCCTGCTCCCAGGCGACAGGACGAGAGGACATAGTGTAAAGCTGCACCGGGGGAGGTTTAGGTTGGACGTTAGGAGGAATTTCTTCATGGAAAGGGTGATTAGACATTGGAACGGGCCGCCCGGGAAGGCGGAGGAGTCACCGTCGCTGGAGGTGTTTAAGGAAAGACAGGACAAGGTGGTGGTCGGTCACGGTTTGAACTTGATGATCTCGGAGGTCTTTTCCAACCTAACCCACTGTGTGATTCTCTGAACCGGCGGTTCAGTGACCGCCGGCGCCAGAGCGAAGGCGCTTTCCGAGCCGCCACCAGGCAGCGCCGGCCCCGCAGCGCCGGGGCCGCCACACGCGCCCTGCCCTCGGCAGCGAGCGCTGGGACCGCCGCGAACGCCGCCGCTCCTCGGGGGGCTGAAAGGAACCGAGCACGGTGAGCGAACCCCCGCTACCGGGGCGTGAGGCGGCCCCGCGGCCTCCCCTTCCCTCCCCTCCCCTCCCCTCACAGCGGCCCCGCCCGCCGCGGGCCCCGCCCCGGCACGTCCGTGGGCGGGCGGTGCTGCCGCCGCAGTGCCGGGGCCGCGGCCGCCGGAGCTGCCGGAGCCGCGGGAGCCGCCGGCCCCCCGCAATATGCCTCCGCTGCCCTGGGGCTGCTCGCCATGCCGGGCTCCTGCGGGCGCCTCTCCCCGCTGCTCCCGGCGCTGGCGGCCGCGATGCTGCTGCTGCTGCTGACGGGGCGGCCGCCCCCCTCCGCCGCCGCCGCCGCCGCCGCCCCCCGCCCGCAGCAGCAGCGGGCGGCGCTGCCCGGGGGCGCCCCCGCCGCGGCCTCAGGTACCGAATCCCCTCCTGCCCCCCGTCCCACCCTCCCCGAGGGGATGGCTCCGATCTCCCCGCGGTCCTGCTCGCCCGCGGAACCGGGCGGGGGGCGGGCGGAGGTCCCGCAGCCCGGCATGGACCGCTCCGGTTGGAGGGAGCGGGATCTCCGTGTGCCGCCGCGGTGGGATGGTGCGGCCGGGGTGGCCGGGAATGGCCCCCACGACCGGGCAGTGACCTGGATGGGGATGCGCCCTCGGGCGCCGGGAGAGTGGCCTCGAGTGATGGGGCTCCAGGGATTCCTGTGGGCTCGCAGCAAGGTGTCTGTGTGTACATAAATATATATATATAATATTAATATATTTGTTTCTATATATATTTATATCACTGTAAAAATAAACACATCTCGTACGTGTTCAAGCGTCTTGAGCCTGTCAAATGAGTGATGGGGCTGGTGAGCTCATTAGTTTTTGCATCCCTTCTGCAAAACAGAGAAATACATCGTTTATCAAAGAGTATAAAAATAATGTGCTTACTTCAGTGTTAGGCTTTAGTAATGTGGTCAAATATGTGAGGTTATCCATTTGCATGACTGAAGCAAGTGATAAGGTGTCTGTTCTGTCACTTAGTTTAAAAAATATGTGTATATCCTGAAGTTTAGTGGCTCAAATTAGGATAAACCCAGAATTTTTCTTTCACTGAAGAATTTCAAGATGGTTTCAAACATGAATTATTTAAGACCTCTTAACACCATGGCTCCGTTTGGGCATATCACCAGAACATATGTTTCATTTTTAACATATATGCATGCTCCTGTTTCCATTTCACTTCAAGAAGGTATAAAATGTGCTTAGCTTTAGGCAGATGGTTAATATTTTTCTGAATTGAAACCAATTTGCAAAGCTGCCAAAGTATGTGGGTTAATTAGGAAATATAAGCAAAGATATTAAATTATGGTATTTGCTTGTAATTTCTTAAAGATTTAGAACAAGTAACTAGAATATGAACAGGCTTAATTTTTCCTGATACACTCTTGAAATGCCTTCGTTTGCTTATTGGTTTCTTTCTTGTGTAGGTTTGGGGTTTGGGGGGGTTGTTATTTTCTTTCTTTTCCGAAGATTTAAACTGTAGAACTTTGAAGAACACCTTGGGTCTTGTTTTTCCTTTTGAACTGTTGATTTCTCATTAGTTTGTTTCTTAGCACGCTTTTAGTAGGATATACCATTAATCACCAGCAAACCCCACTTAAAAGGCATTGGCAGCATTTCTAAGTTGTACAGTGAACATTTTGCTCATTAAAAATTGAGAGGCAAGAAAAAAAAAAAAAGGACAGTTTTTGTAATGCAATGAATCCTCTTTGGTTTCAGGTATTGATTTCTATTCGAGAAGCTCTGTTCCCTCGTTGCCTTCAGCCCTGGCCAAAGTCTTTGTTGGTGTCTAACGTTTTGATGTCGATGCTATTGGTTTGCTGTTGTTGCTGTTGCAGACCCACGTGCCCCGTTGCTGCTGCTTTCTTTTATTTGCTTATTTTGCTTCATAGGTTTTGAGGTGTGAGAGTCAAGAAGTATCTTACAGCACACAAGCTGTAATGATCGGTCTCAGTTTATGACTGTTAAAAATTACCACTCGAGCTGGCCGTGGTTGTTTGTTTGTTTGTTGTGCTTAAATACAGTTAAAGCTTTATTTCACTTGTTGGCTGGATTTCTAAATGATCTTGATTAATTTTTTCCATTATGAAAATCGAAAAAAAAAAAAGGGAGCAATCTTTTAAAAAGATTAGCTAATTACTGCTATTGAAGGTTTTATTATTCTGAAGAAGCTGCTGAGCACCTTTATTTTCTGTGAGGTATTTTCTTTCAGGAAAGCGTGTAAGTAGTTTTTGCTTTATTTGTAGAAGAAGAGCCTGACTCCAGGTCTACGTATTTAACAGATACTAATGTCTTTTTAAGTGAAATCATCGCCTGGTGGTTTACAGCTGTAAGGTAGGCAGGACAAATGGCTGTTGCCTTTCCAGCAGAAGACTGGCAGCAGAGTAATCCCTAAGGGAAATGCTCTGAAGAGGCCACTCCTGCAGCAGCTGCAGGTCCTGCACTGGGAACTGCCAGGCACGCAGTGGCTTCTGGAAGTGAGGAGGAGTCTGTCTGATTTTTGGATTTATGCAGCGTGTTTGTGACCCCAGTGTTGCTAAAGCAAAGGAGGCTTATCCTCCTTAACTAGGCAGGGTGCAGAGCTAAGGCTGGAGTTCACAACCTTCTGTCACTTGACGTGTGTCCCGTATCGATGTCCCTGTTCTGTCGAAGCTCATTATACCGTTTTACAGATCAATTCCCCCCCTGGATTAACTGACTCCTGCCAGTGTGATTACTGTGCTGTCTGAGGAGAGCTGCTGAAGCCAGCACAGCTGTGTTCCAAGGTTTGAGGGGTACACTCTGCTCCTAATGTCTCAGTGCAGCAGTGAGAAGGTAGTTTGCACATCACCACTGAGAAGGGGTTTTTGTTCATCTCTTTCTCTTCCCTTAAAAACAACAGCAAACTTACTACTGCTGAGAGAAATAAATTCTTATGACAAGGCAGAGAACATGTACAGGAGGGACCCAGTTCATGGATCTGCTCTGACTCATGTCCTCTAACAGATACAGGCATTCTTCCACATTTTAAGAAAAAATAATAATAAATTTGGAGATAGAGAGAGAGAGAGAGACAGTCTGGCTTGGGTGATGGTTGCTGAAGTGGAGAACCTGCCTTGCTTCTTCCTTCATCGAAGTGAGTTTCTCCATTTTCTGTGTGGCAGTTTAGAAATCTGGACTCTGGGCAGGAGCAGTTGAAGAGAAGTCGCTGGTAGCTTTGAATATTCAGCATTAAGGTCAGCGGGCTTGAGCATGGAATTCAGTAAATTATAGTCCTGGCTTTGATCCAGGCAAATCTGGTTTTGTTTTCCATGTTCCCTTCTCTTTATCTTTATTGAGATGCATTCTTTACAGGAGATGAGGGCTGTGTTCTTTCATGTTCACGGGATATTCTGATGTGGTGCATTATTATTCTCTTTATAATGCAGATATTGTGCTATAAACAGAGCAGAGACCACTAATTGAATAAGTATACTTATCTACATCAGTTCTATGGCAGGTCTGACATGTGCTGAATGAACAAGATGCTTCTGCAAAAAAAAAAAGCAACTGTGTAAGTGGAAACTGGCACATTACATATAGACAGCACATGGGATGACAGACAGCATCTTAATGTTGGATTTTTTTTTTAAATAAGTGTTGTTTCTTCAAGTTTCTGTCATATACCTTTTGTGATCCTGGCATAAGCAAGAAAAGACATGTCATGCTATTTGTTTTAGACCATTCTCAATCTGCCTCACATTCCAGAATTCAGGGGGAAATTCAGTTTATTTGTTTGTGGTCTGGGTTTTTTTTTTCTTTTAGGCAGACGGATTTGCACAGGATGGGAAGATGAGCTTGGTTCTGTAGGGTGAAATTCGAAAGCAGCAGCAGCAGCAGCTAACAGAGGTGCTGAACAAAGGAGAGGGGAGAATTGGAATTGCTGTGTGTATTTATGGAGTTAGTCCTATCTGTTGAGACAGATGGGATAAATACGTGATTGTTGACCAACTCAGAAGAAAATCAGAGATTACTTTTTTACCTGCAGGAGACAAATATACTGTGTGGATACTGCCTGTGGAATTTGATTTTGAGCCCATTTCTCAATACAGTCCTGCTTGCATGTGATGATAGGTTGCTGTGTAATGCAAAGCCCTGTTGTAGACAGGACATCTCTAATTAAGAGTTTTCCTAAACTCTTTTGTAGGTTATCTTATTCTTCCTGATCATTCCAGAAGGATGAAACTTTCCCATGCAGAAATATTTCCCCCAACACATTGTTGTATGACTGACTGCTTTTCTGACCTTGGTTTTCCGTGGTTTTTACTGTAGAATATTTTTCCTAATGACTTGTATATCGGTGTGCAGTTGGTACTTAGGTATTTAGAGGAGCATTTGGTTATGATAATTTGTTGTACTAGGCTGGGTTTGAATTTAAGCAATAATACATAATAATGCACTTAAAAAAACCCCAAAACATAGTGCAGTGTGACTGGCCTGTTGGTCACTTGATGGAACAATCCTTGTGGTTTACTCTCTCCATAGTCACTGGATTGGGGGTTAGTATGGCAGCAATAAATCCAGTTTTGTTTTGGAACTTTTGTTGCACTCAGATACCCCAAGAAAATGAGTGAGGAGATAAAAGCTGTATGGGAGATTGTTTAGCATTCCAGTAAAGAAGGAAATTCAGTAATTTTCATGGCTGAGTGATTATGTAGGATACAGTTCCTGCTCGAGAAGTCAGGGCTGTCTAACTAGGGTCTTCTGGTCAGAACTGGCATTGTTTGATACAACCAGCAACACAACCTTCTTATCCTGTAGATTTTGGAATGTAATTGGTGTCAGGGAAAAGGTTTATTTTCAAGTTAGAAGTGTTATATGCACACTCCAGCAAAATGATTTAGTGCAAGCAGTTAACTCCACCTGTAGAAATAAGCTCAGAAAATGTCCTTTGCTTTGCTGTTCAGTTTTCTCAGGGTTCTCAGCCTCTTCACAATAGTGTTTTTTCAGCTAGGCGAGGAAGAATGCAACACTTACACTTGCTCTGATTTATTGGAGCTGATGTGTCTTAGCTTTCCATGCTGATCTAAGACTTAGCAATGCAACAAAATATCAGGAAGGGCATTAGGACACTGAGAGGTGATAAAGCATTTGCAGTTTGAAATAGAAATTAGTAATGAAAAAGAAATATTCATGGATTCACGTGTTCCATTATTTAGGTCACTTTGTTGCTAATACAAGAAGAGGAATTTGGGGTTTTCCGCAGTGAAGCACACATACAAAAAATAAGTACTTTTTTATTCTGCCAGAAGAGAATCCACATAAACACAAAGGTGCTGAGGAGTTCTGGAAACTTGGACATCTGTCCTGAGCTGAAAGCTGACTTTTACTGAAGCCTGTAACACATTATAC